AGAAGAAACTCAGGTTAAAAGGTCTACAGTGCTTAAAAGACTTGCACTTATTATTTAAAAATTTCACTTTTTTAAAAAGAACCAACTAAGTACTTGAAGTCTAGCCAAACATATATCAAAGTGCATGAACTCATGGAAACATAAATTATCATTTAATAAATAAGAATTCTTGAAAGTAACATTTAAAAAAAATCACTTTTTTGCCAACAACAATAAGGCAATTCTCCGCAACCAACCTCACAATTCACCCTCATGAGCCCCAACTATGCTATGCGCCTTAACGAAGGCACCCCCTACTGTAGCGCACTGCATATCATTGACAATACTTGTACTATTACAACACAACATCGAGAGTGAACTTTTAACTCACCCCTAAGCCTTTATCCAATATCCAATTGGGATGATCATGGTCTCCCTAAAAATCTTAAACAGTAAGCTATCTAATGGCACTAGTTTCACATCAAAATTTTATCTTAATAGAAAGTTGGATACCTAAAACTAAAACCACTCTTCTTTCACACTTAAACCATTCTAAGCACATGAAGTGCGAAAAGCCTCCATAATTGCCTAGATCAAGTCCCCAGAACTAGTTGTTGATAATATATTATCTCTTTCATATACTGCCAATTGAATACCCTAGGATGATAATATAATAGAATTTAATTTGTGTGAATAGACTAGCCTAAGCTCATTGATTATGAGGAAACACCCGATCAAAGATGTTTCACTTAATCTTAAACCACATATTCCCTTAATTATCAAATCCACTGGGGTATTGCAATGCCTAGTACCACACTTAGTCCAAGGTAATATAAAAAGGCAACGAGTTTGGGCACCTATGCTTACATCTACCTTGGGTGAGATTTAGGGAAACCTGACCAGTGAAAGAAAACCAAACACCAGGGCCACCTATAGCGCTGTTTATATAGTTCCATATGAAAAATATAATATACTCCTCCTGAGGCATCCTCCCTGCCCAAACTATGATCATGCCACCATGCACAATATACCATCATGTAAATCATATAATGCTGAATTAACAAGCATGTGTGTAACTGTGAAAGCAACTACAGTAAGCATACAATAGCAACCCACTAATTTATCACAAGATATACACAATTGCATCATAAAACCAGTCAACAATATAACATTTTCAACCTAATATATGATATTGGTAAATAAGAAAAAACCCCACCTATTTATACTTTTTTAAAAATAAATTATCAATCAAATTTATATTTAATTAAGTTGACCTTAAATCATTTGCAAAAATAGCCTAAATTAATATAACAAGCAATATCATAATTCAGATATTCCCCCCATTACCTCAAATTAAGAAATCAAAGGTTACCCCTTAAAGCTTGCTCCCCAAGCTAGGACTGAACTCAAAACCTATATGACAAAGATAATCTACAATGAACAACAACCGATATTACTAAATTTCAACTAAAATACCACTTCTTATTCCAAATTCAACTCTTTAACAACCTAAATTCCCTAAATACAAGTCTAAACATTGAACCAATGAATTTATTAACTTCATTTAACTCCCACAAGCTTAAATATTAATAATTATAACACTTGATGACTTAAATTTCTCCTTATAGCAACTAGGGTTTGTCTAAAACCTTAACCCCAACCTTCAAACTTCATAACATCCAAGAAAGTAGATTATGAGGGTTAAATAACCCTCATTTATCCCATTAGGACTAATGGGTTTGGACCCATTGCCTTAAGGTCCAAAATTATCACCTTAAAGAGAATGCAAAGCTAAAACACGTGAATGGAGCAGGGAAAGAGAGGGAAAATGAAAACCTTATGGTCGTAAAGCTTGAACCCTTTCAGAATGGTCTTAAAAGCTCCCTAACATACCACAATTCCCTTTCATCACTTACTCTTTATTCTCTTTCCTTTCTCCTTTGTTTTGTGAGCTGTAAATTTAAAATATTTGGCCATTCGTCATGGTAAGAGCCTCCATTCGTTGTAACAAATAGCAGAGATTGGCCCTCCTAATCTACCTTATCTTTTAGGCCCAGACAGCTTAATTTTCTCCCAGACTTGCCAAAAGCTATACCCATAAATATAAGATCTATTAGCCATCACTGACCATTATTACCCTAATTATTACTTAATCACCCTTGATTAATTAACTTAATCTTATAATTAAAATTTTAAATGTTACAACTCTCTCCTTTTAAGAATTTTGTCCTCAAAATTCAAATAAATAACAAAACATATCTCAATGGAACATGTGAGGCTACTACTGCTTCATCTTGAATTAAGATTATCCTAAGAGGTTATATAGCATATTAGAACAACTAATGATTTTGAGACGAGTAACAAAGTAGGATGGTGATAATTTATAGAAATAAAGATGCATGTGCCTTATGGTTTGGGAAAAAATTGAGAATCTTCAAACCAGTTAATATTCCTCAGGAAATAAAAGATAAATTCTTCTTAATTAGTTTTATTTCATACACAAAGTAGAAGTTGGAGATAATATGAACAAGTGCTTGCAAGTCACGCACTCTCAAATCCTAATCGGCTTTACTATCGCTTGTTTTTGAGTTTTATTGTCACATACCATAGTCCACATGTGTGTCTTTTAATGAGAAGTATCTAGACCTGACCTATGATCCATCAACATATTAAGCAGGCCCAACATGCTATATGACCTCTTAGAATTGGGCTCAAGTCATACCTCAAGAAATTTATCGGGTGATTGTTTATAAAAGATGGTTATAAGATTTGTCATCAACCAGTTATGTCTTATCTACCACCTTTTGTAGACTAATCTCTTATTCATTCATTGAAAATTCAGCTAATAATCAAGGTTTTTCCTTAAAGAATTGCTTGAAAACATCTTCCAATTTCACTTTTTAAAATTCTCATCATATTTCAATTAATGAAGTCAATCTAAATTATGAAAAGTTTAGATAATCTTTTTATATGATGTGGTTTTACTAAGACTTGTTGGTTTGGGAGTCTTTTAAATTTTAAAATTGATTCTCAACTACCTTAAAATTTACTCTAATGGCTAAAAGCCTAGTTAAATACTTTTCAAACTCATAAAAATAACCCCGATTGTGTCTAATATTTTATCTTTTTATATATTAGACACAATTTAGTTCTTTTGAAATCAAAAGTGTTTTGTGGTTAAATCTTTCACTCCTCAAAATGTGATCAACTAGGCAATATCAAGATCGGCTAGATTTTTTAAGGCCAATAATCTTGCATCATGCAAATCAAGATCACAAATTTAATTATAACTTCAAGTTCAAGCAATGGAAACACATACCTATCTGAAGAGATATTAACGAAGTTGACTTTTGAAGTTTAATTGTTTCAGAAAATCAGGATCTAAAATATCTATGCAAAGAAAAATTTCTTTAAATGGATCAGTCATTCAACTTTTAGAGACATTCATCGTGTCTTCATTAAACTTTCGTTTTCTTACGAGAACAAATTGGTTCTCAAATTAGCTATAGTGCTATTAGAAGACTTTGGTCTATATAAATTATCTTACATTAAGTTTATTGCTGGACTTTGTAAAACATATCGTGGCTTTATAGTCTTTGCAACATGACATAGGCATCTTACTAGGATAGTATAGTGTAGCAGCTTCTATTTTTCAATTTGAAGTTGTCGTTTTCATTTAAAAAAACAAGCTCTAAGGTTCTTGTTTCATTAATTCCATCACTTCTTATCATATATAGTATAATCACATGGAATGTCTTTTTGCTAAAAAAAAATAATGAAAAAATAACGTTTTCATCCTTACAGTTATTTGATTTATAGAATAATTTCTCTAGAACTTATAGTTTTTTTTTATATTTCCTATAGGCACATCTACAAAGTTTAACTGAAAAAATATCAAAAGAAAAAACTGTTTTCTTAGGAAAACACAATTGCTAGTCCCTATAATTTTATTAGATTTTATTTTTAATTTTTATAGTATTTTTTAATATTTTTAGTCCCTATAGTTTTAGAAAAATTAGGTGATATTTATTACATAGGTCTTTATAGTTTGAATGTGACTGAAAATTTTGGAAAAAATTATAGAGATTAAAAGAAAAATTCAATAAAACAATAAGGATTAATGATTATATTTTTCCCCCTTTACCTCAAAACTATTGTTCACATGGATCATGAGAAAAATCACGTCTTCATATAAACAGTACAAATTTATATTAATTTTAGGAAAAAAACTTTATGCTTAAAATACTTATTTTCAATTAAATCGAGACATGTATATCTATTATAGATTATTTATTTTATAATAAATTATTTTTATTAATATTATTGACATATTAAAAATTATATGTTTTAATTTAATTAAATAAAAATATATTCAATATATAAAGGTAAGTATATTAGCTTTGTCCTTAATTTTATATCATGTAGATGTAAATTTACTGGCCTTTCTCGGAAAAGAACACCCTCCACCACAAAAGCAATCATAAAAACGATGTTTCATTTGGGTTGAAGGAACTCTCAGCCCATGGTCAGCCCGGTTTACCGAACTCTTTTTGGGCCGATGTTTAGCCCAACTCAGTAGCTGACAACAAAAACGAGATCACCACAACCCACCAAGAAGGTTGAGTTCAGCACACAGTTGTATGAGTAAAAGGATCAAAAACCCACCAAGCATTTTACGTCCCAATGTCAGAATCTCACCCAGGACCGGCAATAATTATGATGGCCAAAATTTTCATTTGATTCATAACTACCCTCCACGATCAGATGCGTTTTTCTTCCCTCTCATAAAATTCATAATTATTCTGCTGTCAAGGCAATGCCAGATTTTATCGTAAAATTCCTTTAATTGGACAATGTCGGTCAACACCAAATTTTTTTTTTTTTTAAAAAAAGGCTAGACAACCACTAGTATTTTTAGTTACGTGGGAGGAGTACATATTATTGATGGATAGGAACCCTCCCAACCGCCATTTGGTACAGATAGCAACTCATGCACTCCCAAAACCCTTCTCATATTCCTTTCACTTCAAGTGACATCCAAATGAAGCAACACCTTACCAGTGAAAAACCCCTCCATGAAATTTGTACACTTTCAGTTTGGCAGCACCAACCACTGCCTGACTTCCTCCCTCCAGTCAACACAGACACTACAAGCTGCTCTTAAATCTTCTGCTTTATTTTACCCATTCCTTGAAGGTTTGTGTGCATCAGGTGGTGATCAGAAAAATGGCTTCTGTAGAAAGATCAAAGAAGAAATCCCAGATATGGAAGAAAGGCATGATTCATTTTTCTGTGTGTTTCGCAATGGGTTTTTTCACAGGCTTGGCTCCTACAGGCAAGTCTTCAACGTTCTCTTCCCCATCACTTGCTACCTCCAATAGAGAATTCGCTCCACAGCCTATGCCAGTGGGCCACCAGACAGTAATTAATGCCAATACAAGTTCGATCGCTCCAGAGAAGGAAGGCCAGCCAATGATGTCCAGGTTCCCCAAACACAAAAAGAATCCGCGAGAAAAACCAGAACCCGAGTTGAGACCTCGTAAACCGGTGATTATTGTGACCCCGACGAGCAATAAACTTCGGTTTCAGGGGGTGTATCTGGGTAAGTTGGCCAACACTATAAAGCTGGTTCCTCCGCCATTGTTGTGGATTGTGGTGGAACCACAAACGGAGTCCACAGAACTGCCGGAGATACTGAGGACGACTGGCATCATGTACAGACATTTGGTTTCTAAGGAAAACTTCACTGACTTGGAAGCTGAACTCAATCACCAGAGGAATCTCGCTCTCAAGCACATTGAGCATCACAGGCTGAGTGGGATCGTCCACTTTGCTGGGCTTTCCAATGTTTATGACCTGGAATTCTTCCACCAACTCAGAGATATTGAGTATGAAATATTTTACTCTTATTTTTTATTCTGCGTTTTAAACTTCATGGCCAAGTTATTTGATTTGTATGGATGTATTGTTTTGGGAACTGATGAGCAGGGTGTTTGGGACATGGCCAATGGCAATGCTAAGAGCAAATAGGAAGAAAGTGAAGATGGAAGGACCTGTGTGCAATTCTTCACAAGTAATAGGATGGCATCTGAGGAAAAGGAACAATGAAACGGACATGTTGAGTTCTCAAATTCGTATTTCGAGTTTAGCCTTCAATAGTTCGATCCTCTGGGATCCTGAGAGATGGGGTCGCGATTCGCCTGTTCAAGACACCTCTCAGGTACATGTTTTATTTTTAGGCTGCTATTTATCTTTTAGATAGTGGGAAATAAACCTTTAGGAATTATGGAAAAGAAATTTTTATTGCTGGGTTAAGTAATAAATTTATCCTTAAACTATAAATAATTTAGAAAAGGACCTTATAAGAATCTAATAATTTTTCTATACTTTTCTTGATCATATTTTTATAATTCTTAAAGTCTTTTTTTTATACAATTAAAGTAAACATTTGTTAACAATACCAATAATATTACATATTTTTAAAAATATTGAATAAGAACATATTATATAAAAATGCGTTTAAAATTCATATGCATCGAGATCTATAATTTAAATATATTTTTTTTTAAATTTGACTTTCATTGTTTGATGAACACAATCATTTAGCTGCTGCTTCCAGTTTCGTGTGACTGCTTCGTTTGACGAGTCACCCTCGTGTTTGGGTGAGATTTAGCTATTCTCCAACAACTTTATAAGACGAAACGTAAATTTCATTGAAAAAAGAGAGAAAGAAAAGGTGAGATATCAGATTCGTAATGACACGATAGTTGATTTGTTCAACTAATCTGAACAGTACAATATGATTTTGTGCTGACGGCATTAATTTGACGAAAATCTAGATTTAAGTTATTGGTTTTGTTTTTTTAATTATGTTGGGACCTTCATTTTCTCACTACTTGGCTTCTTTTCTAATTTTCATAGAATTCAATAAAGTTCGTGAAGCAAGTAATTCTGGAAGACGAGTCCAAGTTGAAGGGAATTCCAGCAGACGATTGCTCCAAGATTTTGCTCTGGCGTTTTAATTTCCATACCCAACCCACTCTAAAACGTCAAGTTTTGAGAATTTCATTATAAACGAAGGCGGAAGACTAATATAACAATAGAGTAAATATAAAGACGAATACAAAATTGGGTCGGTCCACAAGTTTATTTCTCTGCTATGAGCAATTTATTCAATTTTTTTTTCCAATTTTACTTTTCGTTCGATATTTTATTGATAATTTGATATACTGGTATTGATTATCCTATCCATATCCATCTTGGGTTAGCATAGCAAGCGAGCTCGTCTAATACAGAAAAGTAAAAGCTTTTAACTGTAATCATATATGATTTGTTTTTTTGGGTGATAAAGATCAAAGGATAGAAAGTAATTTCAATTATAAATTATAAAATTAGGAGCGTTTGATATTTTAAATTTATTTTTATATAATATTTTTTCTCAACTTCTAAAAATAATATAATGTTACTTTTAATGTTAACAAAAGATAAATTTTGGTATTAGTCAATGAGAAAAATAAAAAAAGCACTTAAAATTATAGAAAATGATTAATATTTTTTTTTGTAATTTTTGAATAAAAAATTACGAAAAATGATGAAGAAAAGAACTCCCCAATTTTCTGTAATTTTGTTGTCACTATTTGTATTTTTTGGTCCTTTGTTGGATAATTTTCTTATTTTTATCATTTTTTAATTAACTAATAATGAAAGTTAGCCTTTATTAACTATAAAATTTATATTGTATCATTTTTTAAAAAGTAAACAAAAAAAAACTGTATTAAAAACAAATTTAAGATTCAAAATGTTTTTGAACCTAATTTAGGGATCAAATTGCCCAATAAGGCCATATTTTCTGGGTTGCGCAAAAGAAACTGACACATGCAAATCAAGATTGGGCTTCCCTGTTCAAGGAGGCTAGTGCGAGTCCAGACTCCAGATAGATCAATGCAATGTCTGATGGCTCTTCATCTGTGGCCGAAAAAACACAGTAATGTCTGATACACTTCGTATGGTGCTTTGAACTACGTGAGAAGTTCTATTCATATATATAAGAATTACAAGAGACGTTAGTCGCGAATCATGTAAAGTCGTTAATCACTAATACGATTATGAATTACATAGATTGTGATGATCAACTACAAAACGAGGACTTTGTTATTATTTTTCTCCCCCGGGTGGGGTGAAACTTCTTGAAAATAGTACTCTCTGATATTTTTCTTTAAGAAACATACATACTTGATACTCCGATACACTACCAAATTCCCATGCCTTTTTTATGGGGAGGAACAACTGCCCCTTTTTTTGTATAATGTTGTTTCGTGCCTTGTGAATGGTAACACAGTAGTTTAAATCAATCCTTTTTGGTTCTTGGGTGGGCAGGTCAATCTCATCCAATTATGAATCGTCGCTCTTCATTGTCTCAGTTTATTTGCTATAACAAACCGCATTATTATTATACTCCTTTAATTTTAAATTATAAGATATTCTAGATAAAATTTTATACACCAATAAATCTTAATAAATATATTTAATAATTTTATATTTTTAAAATAAAAATATAAACTTCTCAAAATATCCATCCTGTAATATATTGAAAAGAAAATGATAAAAATTAATTATAGAGAGAAGAGATAATATTAAAATTAATATATTTAATAAAAATTTAATTTATTTAAAGTGTTCTATAATTTAAGATAAATTTTTTTTAAAAAAATACTTCACAATTTAAGATAGAGGGAGTATTAATTAGTAGGACAATTGAGTCCCACCTCAGTACTTTTCGGGAACGCTATTTAATATTTATTGAGTTCGTGTGTTTTTGCCGTTTGATGACCTGACAAATTATTGAGAAAATTACACAATAAAGCCCACAATGCAAAAATGGAGTATAATGCGCAATTTGTCCAAACAAGGATAGCGCGAATAACTGCGCGTGTGGTATACACCTGGGCGCATATTGAACTTTTTTGAAATATATATATATATATATATAAAATATTTTAAATAAAATTATATTAAAAAATTACATCTAGATCCTACATAAAAAAATTTTATTATTAAAAAATTTCATAAATTTTATAACTTATAAATAAAAATAATAATTTATAATAATACGTCATAAATGTTTGTTGTATAGTTGTAAATTTTTTTGTCCTGTTATAAATAAAAAGAATTTAAAAATATTTTTATAATTTTTATTAGACTTCTTCATAATAAATTCTCTTACATAAAATCTATGTGTAATTTTTTTATTATATTATTTGATGAGATAATTAATTATTTTTAAATAAATATTATTTTTTTACATGCCCTTATTTAACAAGGTATCATACTTAGAAAGAAGGGTTGGGTGATTTAGTTATTAAAAATATTTTTTAAAAAATTTATTAATTATATAATAAAAAGTTAAAAATATTTTATATTTTTTAATGGTGTCAGCAGTGGACAATTTTTGTTTATAATCGTAATTATTGAAATATTGAGTTGAACATTTTGAGCAAAAAGATGAGTACTGAATTCGTTTCGAACGAGGAACGAAAAGAGTTTAAAATAAAAGGGCAGGATGGGCCACATCGATGGTAGAGGTCATGTGAGTATTTATGAAGAGTTTTGATGACAGTCACGTGGGGTTGCAAGGATTACAAGGCTGCGGGCCGTAAAAATATTGGTGATTGCAGCTTTCACATCCATCTACTGTCAATTCAGGGCCTAGATTTATTGGGACATCGTAAGCTTTACTGAAATATATAATTTTATTTAAAAATATTTTATAAATTAAAAAGTGGTTGTGTTTAGCACATACAACCACTCCTAACCACTTTACTCAAGCAGAGGGAAAGTGATTAGATTGCCGATATCATATGAGAGAAAAATAATTTAATTTAAATCAAATATATTATCTTTAGAAATATTATATATATATATATATATATCAAATTTTATTTTATTTATGAAAAATTATAAAAAAATAAAATTGTTAAAATGACTTATAAAAATAATCATTTTAAAAATACTCTTTTCGTTCAAAAATATAAAGTATTTTTAATAAAATCTCACTCTAATAAAGTAATTATTTTTAAATTAATTATATATTTTTATATTTATTTTTATTAAATACTTTATAATAAATATATAATTATTTATCAATAGGGATGTTTTTTTAAAAAAATAATAATTATATCTTAAATGATTATATTTTTAAACAGATGGAATATATAAAATTGGGAAACGTATAAAATAATTGACTTGTTGATCCATAGTGTCATCAATATTCACAATGTAACGTCCTCCTTAAGATACCTTCATTTTTTTTAATGCCACTTTTCTCATCCACATGTGTTTTCTCGCCTCCTCTTCTGCATTTTGTCCATTTGCAGACCATATTTATTTGTTTAATGCATAATATTCAAAATTTCAAACTTGTGCACGCTCATTCGTTGTCAATTTCAATAATTAATTAAATCACACAGGGCGTCTTCATTGCAAATACTTCTCTTAAAAAAAAAAAAATCAAGAGTAACAGAAAGGGAAACGAATTATGTATACTTTTAATTTTGTGTTTAGTTTCTCTGAATCCTAACCCATCTAAATTTTTCTTTAAAAAAATTTGAGTCTCATGAACATGTTTGTCGCCCACTCCAATCTCTGATGGCCTTTTAAAAAAATTAAGTTTATTTAACATTTAGAAAACATTCTAAACATCTTTTATTCTAATTAAAAAAAACGTTCTATTTAGTATTTATAAAAAATATTCAGTTGCATTTGTATGTCGCCATAATTAAATAAAGTCAGTCATGCCATATTATTTGATCTGATCAAAAATCCCATCACGATTCTATTAATATTTGATTGGCTGGTTCAATGGGACTTTTACCCTCAAAGAAACTGTGGTTTATTCGTTGGACCTTTTTGTCCCTGGCACTGGTACATGGAAAACAGAAAAGACAAGATCAGTCGGCGCTCAGTAGCCAGGTTTATCGGATTGAGCGCACTAATTTCGTCACAAAGTTGCTGTCTCTTGTTTGTTAAGATTCCAAGATTACATCAATGATTCAATTTAACAGCATGAGAGGATTTTCATTGCCGTGTGGACATTAAACCCGCGGGAAAAATTTGAACTCAAGCCAAACTCTCGCGCGGGTTTTATAACTTTTTCCAGGAAAACCCGAAAGAGAAGGTATTTTGTAAAATTAAACATCTCGATTCTCGAGTTAGGTAAGGGTAAAAAAAGGAAAAGAAATGAAAGTGAACAAGAATAAGCTTTTATGAAAAGAGAAAAAAAAGAGAGAGAGAAAAAGAAAAAGAGAATCCACCGTCTCTCTGAGACATCTGCCACACCTCACAAGTTTCCCTGCTTCACTGTGAAACAGTTAAAGAAGGAAGGTGAATAATAATAAAGCCACGCTAGGAGGAGAATGGTCATGGATTGGCAGCACGAAAACCAAAAGGCATGAACACTGTGACTTCTTCTCCTCTTCTTCGTACTTATGTTTGATTCTGTGAAACCGTGGCATCGAGGTTTAAACTTAATGTTAATATGGTGGGGACCACTGTCCACTGTGCAAGACCCAGGTGGTGGGGCCATTAATATCACCCGAACACCAGCTGGTTTTGCTTCCTCTCCTTTTCTCATATATCAAATATATCATGGAAAGCCTCTTGTCAAGATCTGATTTCGTTTCCCTCTGATTTCCACTCCAAATCTTTTTTTGTTTCTTCTGTCCAGAAATGGAGACGGCTCACCTTGGGAAGTGAAGGGTATATTTGAGATCTGACATTTGGTTTTAGCTCAGGTTACCTCCATCTCCATTCCAATCAATTGTAACTCGAGTCTTTAGTTCCGTATTCGATACACTACTGTACTTCGTCATTTTCTTCTCTCTCTGATTCTCTGCTTGCGTTCTTCGATTGGGCATATATTCCTGCCTGCGCTGAAACTTTCTCAATCTCAACAACATGTTGGTGTTTCTAGATTTCACCGCAAGCGTCTCACTTAGCAATGCAGTTAGATAATTCTGAAATTCTCTGTTTCTTTGCTATGAAATTCCGGAAATGAAGATCATTTTTCTTTTTAGTCGGTTATATGTTTGACTCAATGTCAATTCGAAGAACCAGGATCAGAAAACTGTTGTTTAGTCTCCCAAGCGTTATATACATTCCTTTAATGGTCATTACTCGATGAAATTGGTAGGATTACCGCCAGTTATGGATTAGGTTCAGGTTTTTATTCCTCTCACAGGTTTACCTTTTGCTGCTTGAAACTTGAGTTTGTATTGGGTTATCAGGTATGAGATCTTAACATTTAAAATCTATTCTTGATAAAGGATCAAGTCGAGGAATGCCAAGAAGATGGGGAGGAAGGGAAATTGGTTTTCCAATGTGAAGAAAGCTTTCAGCCCCGAGTCAAAGAAGAAGGAAGATCAGGTCTGTTAAATATATATATATAGGTTCATGTTAACTCTGTGAAACAGTTCTGATAGTTTTAGCTTCCACTATCGCAGAAAGCAAGCAAATCGAAGAAGAAATGGTTTGGGAAGCAAAAATTGGAGGCCACCTCAGACTCACACGTGGGTTCTGAGAAAACAGCACGTCCTTCTCTTCATCCTGAAGAAATTAAGTCACATGATGTTGAGAATGAAGCCAGTCAAAGTCATGTTCATGCAGTTGCAACTATTGTGAATGCTGAGAGACCTATTCCTGCGGCTCAGACAGCAGCTGTTGCAGTTCAAGCCCCTAAAATCCCTCGATTTGCCGGTAAATCAAGGGAAGAAGTGGCTACACTAAAGATTCAGACAGCTTTTAGGGGATATCTGGTATGACGATCAATGTAGATCACTCTTCATATGTTTCTTACCCCTCTTCGTTTTGAAAGCTATTTAACTGTAATGAGAGTGAGAGTCATTCCAAAGCATGGGTTTCTTGCATGAAGTTAAACTTTTCTTTTTCTTTGGTTGCTCTCCTAAACTAACCAAGTTTTTGGGAAGTCAGGGGTGTCGAAAAAAGAAATTCTTGTTGATTGAATGTTTAGTCAACTTCTTGAACTGAAATTTCTGTAAAAATCGTTTAGGCAAGAAGAGCATTGCGAGCTTTGAGAGGGCTGGTCAGATTGAGGACACTAATGGAAGGGCCAATTGTAAAACGCCAAGCTACTAGCACTCTTCGTTCTATGCAAACTTTAGCTCGTGTGCAATCTCAGATTCGTTCTAGGAGGATCAGGATGTTCGAGGAGAATCAGGCTCTACAAAGGCAGCTCTTACACAAGCATGCAAAAGAGCTCGAGAGCATGCGGGTCTCTGGGTTTCACTTCTTTGTTTTTCACATGATAATGCATTATCCTTGACATAACACCACCATTTGTCTGGTCTTTAGAATATAAAATTTGGCATGTTTTCAACTTTTGCTGCAAATTTTCATCACAGATTGGAGAGGAATGGGATGATAGCCTGCAATCCAAAGAACAAATTGAAGCAAAGTTGCTACAGAAGTATGAGGCAGCTATGAGAAGAGAAAAGGCGCTGGCTTACGCATTCACTCATCAGGTTCTCTATTTGCTTGTGAATGTATTATAGTCATTATTTTCCTCATAAGCTGAAAAGAAAGAAATGGGAAAAAGGCATGCATAAATGAAACTAACAGGGGGGGGAATAGAAAGGAAAACTGGCTTTGTTATTGGAGTTTGGCAAGCATAAATTTCATGTTATCGATGAAGAGATAATAAGGCCAGATGAAGAGATAATAAGGCCACTTGAGCTGTTAGCATAATCCTATGACCCGCTAAATGAAGGCGCAGGGCCATTCATTTTTGCTTACTTGTCAAGCAAGTACCATATTCAATTCAAATTAACAAATTTTGATTCTTGTGATAAAAATGTCTACAACAGCAAACATGGAAGAATTCATACAGATCTATAAACCCAATGTTCATGGATCCAACTAATCCTTCCTGGGGTTGGAGCTGGCTGGAACGATGGATGGCTGCCCGGACATGGGAGAGCCAAAGCAAAATGGAGAAAGAAATGAACGATGACCATTCATCAGTGAGAAGTTCTAGCCGCAGCATCACCGGTGGAGAAATCAGCAAATCATATGCTCGTTACCAACTCAATTCTGAAAAGCATTCTCCCACAGCAAGCCAAATTCCTGACTCCCCTAGCTTCCGTTTATATTCAACTCCTTCAAAGCCAGCTTCCAGAAAACTGAAGAAGGCCAGCCCAAAGGACAGCTTTGCAATGGATGATGACATTAAAAGTGTGGCCAGTGCGCAGTCAGGGCGGTTCCGGAGGCACTCCATCGGTGGCGCGTCCGTGAGAGACGACGAGAGCCTTGCGAGCTCTCCGGCGGTTCCGAGTTACATGGTGGCAACTCAGTCTGCAAAAGCCAAGTCCAGGACGCAGAGTCCATTGGCAGCTGAGAATGGCACGCCGCAGAAGGCGAAAGATAAAGGATCTTTCGGGACTGCAAAGAAACGGCTTTCTTACCCGCCTTCACCGGCGAGGCCGTGGCGGCATTCAAGTGGGCCCCCAAAGGTAGAAAACAACTTAACTGCAGAAATCACTATGGTTGATGGCGGGGCTGCTTAAATAAATAAGAGGTAAGTTCAAAAGCGAGGTCGTAAAGATTGTGTGCGAGAAATGTTCGTTTGACTCGAGTGTTCCATTTTACTTGGTTTTATAAATTAAATTGTTTGCCGTGTTCTGGGAGGCATTAAAAAGCGTTTTACCTGCTTTTTCCCCCTCTCTTTATATTCTCTCAATATTTGCTCAGATGGAAAATGGTTCTCAGAAGAACAAGTGCCATATCTTCCTCATCATAACAGATCATCGTTATATTTGAAGATCGTGATTTCTCATTCAGACATAAAATGTATATTCCATTTCAGCATCTCATTGGTTTGTATTACTCTGTTTTCGCAAGATATGATTTCTGTGTTTAGATGTTTTGCTGTGTTTCCATCCCCATGTATTTTATTAGAGGGTTGATATTTGGAGGATTGGAGTTTGCGACAAAGAATGACATTTACACGTCTCAAAATCTTATGGTCTAATCTAAACGTATGATGCGAATTACAATTGACACAAGCATATATGATGGAATACTGTCACACTGAAGTAAGATTGCAGCTCTCTCCATTCCACTTCTCCCCATACCAACTGCCTTTTCAGTAGCAGTAACGTGATATACTACTTTTTAGTGTCCAAGGGATGCTCGCTACGCAATATAATAATAAATAGAAAATTGGAAATGATATTCAGTCACTACGTGTCAAACGCAACTGGGGAACTGGCTCCGACTCAAGTGAAACTATACAACGACGACAAACATAACCATGCTGTAAAAGCATTGTACTTCAGCAGATACCAACTAACAAACTTTCTATCGGTGAATATTGATCATTGTAATTCAAAAGTCTACAAATGTCATAATCCTCATAAATCTTCAGCTAAAAGAGGAAGATATTCAGATGGAATTACATTTTAGGGGGTGGGAAAACTCGTTTGTTCTACCCTTATATGCTTTACAACAACATTCGTAGTATGCAGTTAAACGCCAGAGGCAACGACCATCGCTGGAGGATCCAATTTGACAAGTAGGATAATGATTCCCCCACAATAAGTGTTACCCCTTGGACAGAATTCTGCCGCTCAGTTAATGATGATACCAAAAAACATCCTAAACGAGATAACAGATACAACGTAGTATATGGAAATGGGAGTTGAAAAAAAAAACCTTAGTGATATGTTGCTTTTATCTGTGTCTCCAGAAGCTCTTATGATCCAAAGTTTTCGGATTTGCAATGAATATTGTCGTCTTTCAAGCTCCATCAAGCAGAGGAGCAGCCTGTGGTATTTACAATCACAGCCTAAGGAAGCGTGAATCAGTAGCCACGTGTCATTCCATATCCGAAGCAAAAACTGGTAAATCTCCCACGATTGCAGTTTCTTCTTGTTTTTCAAGTGGACCTTGAGGGTTTCCAAAAAGGGTGGAGAATATCTGCCTATGACATTCATCACAGAAAAAGAAATAGGACAAGTGACCTTCATTAGGAAGTTTATGGATGACTGCCTCCGGCAAAACTCGTCCTATGTATTCCGCCATTGATGGTGGGACCACCCTATCATCCGATCCCTGTTCAGAATTGAAAAGGAAAGCATACGAGAACAAAATTAGACATCAAGATGAACTCGTTCTCTATAGGAAAAATTTAGGTTAGAAGAAACAGCACTACCCAAGAAAATATGAGTTCATACCTGCCATATGTTTATAGGGCCAAGAAATCCTGCTAATTCACATTCTGCCTGACTGTACATAGACTTCAACCAAAGAAGCAAGCCTCCTGTTCGGCACTTCTTATGCACCTGGAGCTCCGTTAAATCAAATCCCCAATTTGTTACCTGCAGAACAGCTTCCTCTATAAACGGTTGTGTGTTTCCCTGGCGTACTGACTCCTCCACGTTCCGTTGCCAAAATTCTTCAAATGCTGGCTCTTCTATCAGAATTTCATCCTGAACATGCCAAGATGTTAATTTAACAGATCATCACGGAATCGCTTGCCTTTTATCAATGAAAGCTGAAGAAAACTAAGAAAATCTTTACTGGGCATTGTGTTTTAATTCCTATTTTTAAATCAGCTTCACTATCATGCTCAGAGATCCGTTTCAGAGGCAAGATTAGAAGAAAGTAACAAGGGCCAAAATTTTGGATGGATTCTAATATTTGCAGTCCGATGCACGTCAATGAAGCCACTGGATTCTATACGCAAGCCATAAGAACGATGATATTATTTATAATATGAAGATACCCTGGCGCACAATTACTCATCCCCTCATAATACCAAAGATTAAACAAAATGAGTCTATAGCTATCACTTTCCGTAGCTTATGTTTATTAGATAAAGCAAATTTCTAAAGAGTTGTCATGTTAGGATCTGCATATTTTAACCAGCTATGGACAGACTTTTCCACATACAAGTTGAGATTTACTTCCATTCTACATCCAACTGTTAAAGCAAATGAGTATTTTAGTCAATCATGTGTTACGGTGGGCAGACAACAGCCAAAGATTGATGAATCCAGTTGCTTCCAGTTGGCATGAATTCACAACCATTATCGATAAATCTAAAACACTATATCGATTTTAAAATTATACCGTTCAAAGATTGACATATTCACCTTCTTTCCCAATGAAAAGGACAACTGCTTATCAATCTTATCATGCTTTCCTGACAAGAAGCTTTTCCTATAGAAAAAAGAGAGAAGTTTTGGAAATCTACGAGCCAGTGAATACATGAACTTCCTCCTTGGCAACCATTTCTCCCAAGTTCTTTTGATCTCATTCTTACTCATACGTGGCTCAAATGGATTGATCATGGGAGCTAACATAGCTGCACCTGCAATTTCAGGTAATATCACAAACAACATCAGACTCTAAAATATTTCCTTTCATTTATGCAGAGATCATGGGGAGTAGAAAAGGAATAAACAAGTTTAACATAACTTACATTGCTATATACTCCAAAATTATTCTCAACAAATATTTGCATTAAGCTGTATGAATGGAGATAAAACTAATATCATAATTGGCACTCACATTGCATATTGCCCAAAAGTTATACCACCAAAGTCTGTGGTTAAGTCTCGAATTAAGCTCAAAGAATTTAAAAGCTCCGAAAGCAACCTTAAATCCATGACGGGAAACATGGACTTCCAGATGCTGAACATATAATAAGCTTTTAACTAGAACCCAGACACGAAGCATCATATTGTTGAATACCTGCAATTCTGTCGGGAATATATCTGAGTGAAGCCCAAGCATGAATGCATCCACTTGAGTGGCACAGTACCCAGAATTTGTCACTAACATTGACAGCGTTGATTAGATGCAGCAAATCCATAGCTGAGGAGTTAAGATTTCTCTTAGGATGAGGATCACTCTCCCCAAAACCAGGAAGATCATATGTGACTAAACGTATACCATACTCTTCAAGCAGTGAAGTTTTAGCACCAGGTATACCTTCCATTGGAAAAGAAACAACAACAAATCAGATAGTAGGCAGAGCTTCGTATCTCTTGCTATTTCTGGTCAGAATATGATAGAGATTATGAATACCAATCCTGAAAATAAAAAATTCTGACAACTCACCCGCCAGTCTGGAAGAAAGAAAAGCGTGTGGAGCAACAAGGGAAAATCTAGCTTTATCAGCAAGAACACCTTGCTCATCATAAGCCATGTATCTACCATCAGGAAGAAGTATTCGCCTAGCACTAGGAGGATGCATGCGCACCTTTACCACTGGGGCTACAGAGTCACGGTTGGGATCCACACTAATAGCTGCAAATTGCTTGTAAAGGTCAGTAAATTTCATACCAAACCAACATCATCAGGCAGAAATCATTCATAAACAATTATAGTAGTTTCTCTGGAATCTAATAAAACTCACATAATAAGTGTTTGAAATAGCATTGACAGAGAAAACAAAATCAAGGAAAAAACAAGAAAAAATGCACCTAGTTCATGGAGGCGCATGGATATAAAATCAAGGTTTATAATTACCAAAAATTACCGAAAACTGAAAAAAATGATGAAAGTAACAATGTGAGAATTTTTCTGTTACTTCATTAATAAAAATCAATAATCTCCTATTCGGTTGTAAAGACTCTTAATGAGTGAAGCCCACACTGATGAACAGCACAAATACGCTGTGTCTGAAGGGACATGAACAATAAATGACTCATAGTAAATTCATGTACTATAAGTTATGTGGTATAATCCAAATTTATTATCAGTATTCACTAGCACATGAATAATTTTTTCCCCTAAGATTTTAACCCACGGTTGCAATTCGGTTCAGAAGACCGTATTTTTAAATGTAATAACTTCAACATAATCTCAAGTTTTTCTATGAAATGCGGCTTGTCGATCAGTGATAATCGTAGAATCTGATAAACGGTGATCATTTTAATTTTCAAACATGAAAATGATGCCTCGCAGCGATATCATAATGTCGGAGAACTAGACTTGCTCTATGTTATGGAAGTCTTTCCAAGAGGAAGTTCCGAATTTCATTGTTCAATCAATATTTCCAAAAACACCAGTAAACCTGTGTCATGAAAAAAATGGGGCAGTGACGAGGGCTTGTGCCAGCTCTCCCTCTTTTATAAGGTATAGCAATTTAATACGACCTATCTAAAAAAAAATGTTGAAGAAAGGAAACTCTACAACAAATAAATTAACGTGAGAGTAAACAGACGGGGTAGTTAATTAAGTAACCTGCGAGTGCAAGAATGAAAACGAAGAACACGACCGACCAAGCTTGAAACGGATCCCGATCCTCGGGCAAAAAAGCATTCAGAAACCTTAAACTCTTTGAAGCCTTAGCACAAGGCCCTCGTAGCTTTCTCACTACATACGAGTTCTCGTTCAAGAAATTCTGTTGCACAATATCCCTACAACCTCTAGCAAATTCCATAGTATCTCACACCAAGCCATCATAAAACCCATGGCCTGATCCTTGAAGCTCTCCCCCGATCCCTCCGATTCCAACGTCAGCGATTCAGGGGGCACATACCCCGATCTTCTCGTCTCAAATGGCGTCGTGGAGGATTCCATCGGATCTCCGGTATAACGGACGTCAGAGCTGTCCAGAAGACTCGACAGCCCGTCTCTCCACGAGTCTACTTCCACCATTTACCCTCAAAAATAACAGTCACAACTAGCTCAGACCTCAGTAACAGGTGAAATCCCCCGCTTCGGCAGCACTTTCATAATCAGGAATTAATGGAAACGGAGAAGGTCACTTCTGATGTTTATATATAAAAATGAAATGACCCTGAGTGACGATAATGGCCAGCCAGAACAAAACAGAACCGAAATGTAATTTTTTTACAAGCGTGATCTTGAAGCTACATTTTCCAATTAAAAAATTCCGACCAGTATTCAAAATGAACCTAAAAAATTTAAAAGGAAATTCATTTAACAATTTAACAGACAATTTTAAAAAAAATAAGAAGAAGGGGGCAAAAAGGGCCGGGAAGAAGAAAGGAAAGATAAAATGCTGTGTGCGCTGAGCAGGAAGCCTCTTTCCCTTACCGACGCTGAAAACTTGCGCTCCAGCGAAAAGTGAAAAACTATGTGGTATTACGGTATCACGTGATCTATCCTCTAATTCAATTCTGATTTTCTTCAAAACAGAGAACAATGGCCTGCTTAACCCCAAGTCTAGTTGCTATTATTACACTAAAGCTTTCGTTAGCAGAGAAAGGAAGAGCGAGTAATGATAGGTAGAAGGTAACAACATGTGGACACGTCAGCCTTATACGGCTCCCAACTTAAGCCTGGCTCGCTACTAAATCAGAGCGTGTCTGATCCGACAGGCCCGTGGAAATCGGTTACCTGTACTTGTCGGTCTAGTGCAGTGCCCGTCACTGAAACCTCGACGCTAAGCGATTAGAGCGACGAGGCCCCATCCCATGTGAGTCGCACAATATCCATGACCATTTTCTACTTTTTCGCACAAGAAAAAATGCAAGTCGTAGCTTTAATTTTGAGTGCACAAGTCAGGACATTACCCAAATGCAAATTCAAGCAGCTAGTTGAGCAAGAAGTTGATTATAGAATGCCAATCGCGTCACGCTTAAAAAAGTTATGGTAGTGGCATATAACATGAGCTACGAGGGGATTTTGCTTTTGGTTGGTGACGTGTTCTCAAAATGGTGGCCGTTCGAAGAGGTTGGAATGGACGTCAGATGGTGATGAAGCGGTGACGTTGAAATCTCTGATTGGCCTCACCAACACAGGGTGGTCCTGAGCCCTCACCCGCAGTGGCTTGCGAAAAGCAAAAAAAGCACGGGAAAGTAGAAAGGGGAAAGGGGCGCGGAGGTGGTCCGTGGGAATAAAAACTTAAGCCTATTTGGCAATTTTAATAATAATTTTCTGTTCTTTAAAATAAAAGGATATGTTTGATAACATATTTTAAAAAGCATTTTAAAAAATTGAAATATTATTTTGAAGAGAACAAAATAAAAATAACTTTTAAGTGTTATGAAAAAAATTATTTTATTATTATTTTATTCTCAAAACATGTTTTATAAAATATTAATTTTTAAAATAAAAAAATAAAAAATATGTTAAATAGCCCCTTAATCTTGAATTCCTCCTCCCGGTCGTCACGTTGGTTCGGGTCAAATCAGGACATCTATGTAGTCGTGTCGCGTGAAGGATTGCACCGTTGTCCGCTTCGGATCGCCAAATATTCCTATTCCCGACTAAATTTATTAATTAAAATTGGGTATCAACATTTATCCCTGGTCTTCCAGAGAGAAATTTTCAGGCACCTTGTTTCGCGAGGAAGGACTAATGAGGTCCAATCCAGGTGAAAGAGGTACCTGATTTTGAGCCCATTTTGGTCATCCATTTTTAATGATTTAAATTTACTTGCATTAAAAATATTAAGAAAACCATATATTCTAGGTAATGAAAGAGGGATATTACAAATGTAGAGTATCCAGACGTGGGGGTTCTGCAAGTGGAAGGGTGGAGAATATTTTTGAGCAATGGATGTCATTGTCTAGAGAGCGAGGGGAATACAGGGAAAAGCAAGAGCACATGGCGTGTTGGTGGGTGCGAATACGCTGACGGCGACAGGAAAATCAAAGAGAGAGCCATCTTCCACGTCTTCTTTTTTTGATAAATATCTTCCACGTCTTCTTCGCCTTCTTCATTTTCGCGCACGAACAGGGCCATGAATCATGGCTGACCCTTGGAACGAGAGAATCTGTATTATATATTTAAATTTTCTCATGCATCACAAATAAATAAACTAGTGTGGCATGATATTTCAATATTCAGCTTGGTCTTGTTTGTAAGGTCATCTTATTGGTCCTTCGCGTAAGACCTTCTATAAAATTTAATAAGGCTTTTATAATTAATATCTAAAAAATATCCTCTCTCTCTCTCTCTCTCTCTCTCTATACTGGTTTTTCGTCCTATAATCCCAGTGAGATATATCAATCAAATAGCAATTTTGAAAAGTTGTATAAGATTTTAACTTCTAATTAATTTTCTTAACAACGAGAAAGTGGTTAACAATATTACGAAAATGAGTTGGGGGTGTACCTTGTGTAATCCACTAGCTTGCCCACCCTGATGGTTTATCACTTTGCCAAGGTTGATTTTGCACGTGTATGTGATTACGTCAATATTAATGTGTGAGTAGAATCGACATTCTAACACTGGTTAAATATTAGCAGAGCACCTCCCTTTTTTGCACGACGACAACGAAATTAATTAATATCAGAAAAAAGAGCGAGGTTCCTACATCCCATGGGTGGTTAATTTGCCAAGAACGGTATTCGAGCTACATTGATTCACTCGATGGGTAAGGTATTCTACACCTCCATTCCCTTATCAGAAAATGTTATCCTAAATGACAGACTAATTTTACATGATGAATTTCTTGATTTTCTCGATAAAGCTAGTAAGAGGGAAATATTGAGAATGTTCGTTATAAATAAGATTAATTACTTCAAATGCGTCATAATAAACATTGACTTTAAGATATTGTTCATCCCAACAAAATTCAAGCCCCCTTAAAGATACCTGAAAGCTTAGTTGCAATGTTGGTTAAAATGAAACACGTTTAATGAAGCCCAATTACACATGCCCCCCGTGCATCTCAAATAAAAACTTCCAATAGCTCCTAGCAATTCTGTTGAGATTAACCAACGGATGTTTAATCTAACCTATCTTGATTGAGGTGTGAAATATCTAGACGGGATGTCTCCTCGGCTTAAGGTCGAAGTATTAATCCTAGCTTCCAAGTTAACGTTGTTGACAATGTTTTAAAAACTACGCAAACTAGTCAGCCCAACTAGTTAAAGTATTGGTAGGATAGTATAACAACTCAATTTTCTTTGAAAAGATTGTCTAGAAGGCTGAGCTAGGAATCGTTATTAAACTGAGGTTAAGCTAGCTAGTTGAATTAGTCTTTGCTTTTTTTTAAAAAAAAATTATATTTAAAAATTAAATGACAACATTGAGAGAGCTTAATTTGAATCTAAATTGTAAATCATCAATCAATATATATTTTTAATAATTTACAAGGCAGATACACATTTTTTAAATAATTTTATATTTATATTTTTATACACAAATATAATATTACTTTTATTTATTTGTATCATCATTTCGCCCACCGGTTTAATCAGTCAAATCGTGAGATCCATAAACTGCTAGTTTTTTTTTTTTTTTTCAGTTCACGATCTGGTCCAACTTTTAAGGAACTAGTTTTTTGATCAAGGAGCAGGTTCCTCATTTCTTCCCCCTTTCCTGGCAACTCCGGATGAACATTGTCATAGTTTGCCACGTACCGTAAAACCATAGTAAATGTTATGCGGTGTGCGGTGCTAGCGCTGCCATTCTCATGTTTTCTGATAACTGTGGCCACTTCATTTTTTTCTTCGGCAGGACGATGGGTGTGACTCCTTCCTTATCCTCGAAAACCTGATTCAGTGAAATTTCATATCATTTCCCCAGGTACTTCTGTTGTTGACTTTAAGAACCAACCATATTTAAAAGGATTGTCTAATCGACTTGATTGTTCCATTATGGGCGATTTAGCCATTTCTTATTGATTTTTACCCTGTCCATTTTGACGTTTAGTCAAGTCAAATTAATGAGTGATGCACCGTACAAAATCAAACCAACGAGGGACGAATTTCTCTTTGAACCCAACCTACGAGAGAATTGGCCAAAAAGCCCTACGGGATAACAAATTGGCGTACTGTCCTGTGACGTCGGGTTGGGCCAACATAAGCAAATGTCAGGCCGGACTAGTCAACAAGCGGGCATTCTAATTTCTAAACAAGAAAACTCAGTCCACCCCACGAGGTTCCTCTCTCTCTCTCTCTCTCTCTCTCTTTTCATGAATATTAATGGTGACATGGTTGATTAATGAGTGGTTGGCCAGAAAAAGATCAGTGTAAACCATGTCACTTTACGCACTATTTTTTTTGGCCAGTGGTTGGCCAGAAAAAAGATCAGTGCGTAACTGGCCAACCACACATTAATCGAATTTAGATATTTTTATTTCCAAGCGTTTACCGCACGCAATTAATCGAATTTAGATGATATACCAAGCGTTTATTATTTGCACAACAAAGTGGCGGCTAAGTTTAATGCACAAGAAAAACGGAGTAAAAACGGAATCACGCTGCGAGACCCATGATGCCCGAAGAAATCCTCAAGAAAATTCCCGCAATTACCGCGCCAAAATATGCAAGTTTCCAATTCAAAAGCGATCCCATTGAAGTGAACAAAATTAGCCAAAAATCTTGCCCTGCTCATTCCTGCACGAAGCCATTCGTGAGAGAAAATTGACAATGACCGAAAAATGCTTAATAGCAGCCTCATTAGCAGCTCTGGTTTTTCATCCTAGATCGTCCGTCAAGTGTTTCAAACCCAAACCTGATCCTGACAGCACCATTAGTACTACCCAACGAAAGCATAAACCAGCCAAGAAAAAACACAACACCCCACCCAAGCCTCCTTGCAAGCAATCCAAACCTAAAGCTGAAGCCCCTGCTACCTCTTCTATCGCAAGAAATTGTTTCACGTTCTAACCAACTCACAGAGCTCCTGGAAGGGGATTGGCCTGTTGATATTGTGGCAGCCATGTTTCGTGCTGGGTGGCCTCTCGAGGAAACGGTAGTGATAAAGAAAATACTCAAGGTCAATCACTCTCCGGATCTTCTCGCCAAATTTGAAGAATACAGAGAGGGAGTGAAGTCGAAGTCAGGGACAATCTGTGAATCCGAGAGAACCCATAAACTGGTGGTCGATGGGAATGAACTCGTGCGGTTTCAGGGTGCGCTTATCACTTGTTCTTTGGGGAGAAACAGTGCATCTCTGGGCATTTGCTCGAACAGATGGTGTGCGGTTTGTAGGATGGTGAGCTCTACGTTGCCGGTGAAGGACGTTTCCGTGACGTTACATGAAAATAGTTGGAGGGCACACGGGAAGATAGGTGGAGGCTCTGCAGGAGATTGGGTCTCCGCGAGAACTGCCTCTGTATTATGCAGAGTGATTGCGGGGCGGATTGCCAATTTCCATGAACTTGGGGTCACAAATGCAAAGGAGGGGGTTTTGATTCAGTGGTATCTCAACCCGGTGTGAATCAGAGGTGTCAGAGGAACTCGTGGCTTTGAATCAGAGAGCAATCCTTCCCTGTTTTGTTGTCATATACAGAGCCAGTCGATCCGTAGATTGCAGGACAAGGTGGTGATTCGGTGCTTGACATTTTAATTGAAGATTTATTGTCATTTCTTGATTAGTAGCCGCCTAGCTGGGAATGCAAGGAGATTATCGCAAAAAAATAAGTAAACTTTCTGGAGACCTCTTATTCGAGATAATATTAGAATGCAGTTTCGTATGAAAAAGTTTTTTTTTTTTGGACCGAATTCTTGCTAAAAGGATGCGTTTTCATCCCAACATTTTTTCCGAGTAAATGCATTTGATTCTGGAACTTTCAAAATCAAAGGAAAATTTTTGACGCGTGCTGTATAAACTGTGAGAATAAGAGCCTATTTGATTTTTTTATTTTTATTTTAAAAACTATTTTACAATACAGTCTTTCAATTATTCTTTAAAACAAAACAAATGAAAATACGTTTGGTTATATTAATTTTAAAAATAGTTTTAGAATTAAAAAATAGATGGATAGTAATTGTTATAAACAATTACTAATAATTTATGATAAAAATTAATTAATTTAATGTAATTTTCAATAATCAAATGTAATGGATTTAAAAAATAAAATCAAAATAGCTTGAAGTTATTTCTATTTTTTATTTTTAAAATAAAAAATAAAAACAGTTTCAAAAATAATTAAAGTAAAAAAACTGATTCAAGTTTTTAAATTTTTTATTTTTAAAAATAAAAAAAAACAATTTACTTTCTCCGTTAAAAAATGTAAGACATTTTTTGAGAAGTTGGATATTTAAAAAGGCAAGGTATTTTTAATTTTTTAATGTACAATCATTATCCTTTTTTAAAAAACACCTATTAATCATGACTTTATATTTATTATAAGGTGTTTAATAAAATTAAATATAAAAATATAAAATTAATTTAAAAATAAGTAACTATTTTATTAAAGATAAAATTTTATTAAAAATATTTTATATTTTTAAATGAAAGAGAATGATAGATATCCCGACGCTAACAAACGAGATGTCTTCATTAAAATTTTATAACTAAAAAACTTTGTTTGGATTAAAAAATAGGATAGATAAAATATCAGGAGAGTTGATATGAAAGCTTCCTAATATTCCCTCCAATTTTCTGCCGGTCCAAATAAGGGTAAATATTTTTTCACGCTAAAAATCAAGTAGCTAATTTATACGCTCGAATAAAAAACTAATTTAATTATTTAAAAAAATTAATCATTTAATCCTTACAGTTTTAATCTAGTTGTAACTCAATTCTTAAACTTTGACTCGTTATAACTTAGTTCCTGAAATTTTAGCTTGGTTGTAAATCAGTCTCTAAACTTTGCCTTTCACAATTTAGTTTTTAAAGTTTTAACCTTTTAAATATTAGTCCTCATATTTAAAAAATAAAATTTAAAAATTTAAAAAATTTAAAAATTTTAATATTTATAAATATTAAAAGGGTTTAGTGATTTAAGATATTAGTAATAAATTTTAAAATATTTTTAATTTTTATAATTTTATTTTTTAAAGTATAGAGACTGATATTTAAGAGGTTGAAACTTCAGGAACTAAATTATAAGAGGCAAAGTTTAAGAATTAATTTACAACTAAGTCAAAACTTCAGAGACTGAATTATAACTGAGTCAAAACTATATGAACTAAATAATTAATTTTTTCTTTAAAAAAAAAAGATTACTTTTCTTTTTCTTTTTATGTTACACCTGAACGCTTTGATTTAGGATACGTCGCGAGTGTTGCGACATCATGTTACGCGTCGTAATAGCAGCTTAGGTTTCTTTGTTTGTTTTGGCCGATCCTGTTATTTCTGGGTCCGTGATCCTTACTTTTCACCGAAAAACAGATTATACGGTACATCGGATAACGAGTGGGAAGCGCCATATTGATCAAAATGAAAAGATAACTAAGAAGCACAATTTGCCAGCACTATCACGCACACTTGGCGTTGTTGGAACAAGTTGTCCCATTCCGGATGTGGTTAGTTGATTTTCGCTTGAAGTGAAATCATCAAGCGCACCCAAAGCACGCCGCTCATTCATTACGTTCCTTCCTTCCTTGCATTGTACACAAAGCAAAGCCCTTCCAAATCACCCCTACAAAAGCACTATCCCTCTTTTCTTTTGCCTCATTCACGTGACCATCACGTGCTGGGTGGCTTGCATGGTTTGGGTTTGATGCCACGAATGGAAAAGCACGCAAGAGCATCCATTATTATTTTTGTTAAGGTCCGATCCATTGAAATGGGTCGCATTAAACCTGGCGTTTTAGTTCAGCCAAAGTGCGAATTCCCAAGCATGTTTTTGGATTCCGCTGCGTTGGGATTAACTAGGTGAAATTGAGCAGTGCTTACTATAAATTAGTATATTTCTCGAAACCTTGCCCTAATTTTATTACTATTCGTATTAGTAGTATTCTTTTTATGGAATAAATACAAGGATCGGAAGATTCTCGCCTTCTTGCCTACGTTCGTCTACGCGTGTGCAACTAACTGGACGAGTTTCTCTTTTGGATTGTTTGGTAGGTGCTCACTGCCTTTCTTTCTACCAGCGGTAGTGGACGTTGTTCCGCTTAATTTTTTTGTTGAGCTAAATGATATCTCATAGTCTCACACCAGCACACTCCCTCAATTTTTATACACAAAAGAAAAAAAACTGTATCAATAGTTTAAAAAAATTAATTAATCATAATAATTATGTCTAAAAATAAAAAAAGTTGAACTAAAATATCCTATATTAATCAACATAAGCATGCATTAATTATTTTTATTAATGTAAATTATGAGGGGTGATTTAGAAAATATGTAATAAATATTTAATGAAATATGTAACTTTATTTATATAAAAAATAATTAAAAAATAATAGTTTTTTATAAATAAAAATGAAGTAGCAACGCATGAGATTTGGCGACATTTAATAAATTTGCATTTGCACGGTTATACAATAGGAAATATTGACAAATTTATTTTTTAAATATAAAAAACCTTAAAAGTATAAAATATCTTCTTACCTGCCTGTCCATGGGTAAGTTGAGTTTCGGAGATTGCGCAGTGTCGGTGCAAACCTTCAGGGGAGGTATTTACCGACCATTTCACCAAGAAAATTTTTACATTAAAAATGAAACTCGATCTTACAAATATAAAAATTATAAATCAAGTCCTTGATAAAAACGGATTTATTGGTAGCCTGTGATATTTTTATCTCACAGAAATTAGAAACTTTCTCTTATTCGTCTAGCCCGCTGACCCAACACCAAGCACTCTGAGCTAACAGTGACAAGAGAAGACTGCTATGGGCAGGAATCGACGTAGCACTTGGTTTGATAAGGTCATCGCTCACATTCTCACGAAGGCCTTGTGTGGTCCTTGGTGGGGGCTTTCTGCTGCATTATTTCAAGCATTCAATATATCAATACACATAGTACATGTATATGCATGCATATAATTGCGAATAAAGACGCTAACAGTTTATTTTCTTTCTCCAAGCCTAACGTTTAACATACATATAGAACGTTGAACGTGGTTCTACAGTGAATATCCAAACATTTTCCAGAAATGCATGCCAAGCTTATAATGTATTCAAGTCCCTAGCTCTCGTGCTTCCTGAAAGCAATTTGACTGAAAAACGCAAAAAGCGTTCACACCTGCGTTCTTTCTTGTGAAACACAAGTTCAATTTTTATCTTATGGTAACATTTAGGTTAGCAAATTAACTTCAAATTTTAATAATAATTTAAACAATTCAATGCTAACCCGGTCAAATATCAAACTCAAGACATTTAAGCTATTTAAAATACTGGCAATAATTAAATCCTCAATCAAGGAAAATTATATGTGATTCATTTTTGATAGAAATGAACAATACTCATCATTTCAAATTTTGGTTTTTTTATTTTAATATTATATACCACAAAATTTTATGCATTAAAATACGATAAAAATAAAAAATTACTCTGACAGTATGAGCATTACAGATAATTATTATATTATTTGTATATTTCTTGTTCAGCTTTATGCCAATTGCCAATTATGCTCGCTGCATAAACACTGACTTTGTTCTTTATAGATCTTTCCTGGATATCTATGCCGAGCAATGTGCTCTTAACATGTCTTTAGTCCGATTTTTTTCCAAGCTTAGACCTCTTGTAATTCAAAAAAAAACAAAAAGAATTCAGAAAATAAAAAATTCATAAAAAATAATACTGAGGTCGAAGACAGTTCCGCCGTGCGCTGTGTGCAAATCTTCCCTGTATGTATATATGCGGAGCATATAACTGTTAATGTTAATCTACAGTTGATTGAATAGTCACGATTTTTAAATAAATATTTTGCATGTTGAAAAATCATGCGAGGGCCACAATGAAGAAATAAACGTGAGACTCATGATAAAAAAACAATAATAGATATAAGATTTATAGTAAAAATAATATATATGTTGCATGGTATTGGTTGATTGAATTACACACACACACAGGATAATAAATTGGAGATTACATACAAAGCTAAATAGAAAAATATAAAATAAATTGTTTCATTGTTTGAAATTTAATTTATATAGCATGTGAGAATAATATATCTAAAATAATATATTTCTTGTGCATGTAAATATTTAGTTAAAAGAATACTTTTTGCTACACTATATTCCCTCAATTAAAAAATATAAAACATTTTTTAAAAAGTTAAATCTTTAAAAATATAAGACATTTTTATAATATATTTTCTAATAATCGATTGGGTTACTAATAAAAAGCCTCTTATTACTTGAGCATATATAATGCTATCCCAGGCTTCTGCTATTTCTATACGCTTTTCTTCCTCTTTTTTCTTAATCACTTTCGTCTTTTCCTTTGTATAATCTGAGATTTTCAATTCTGTATTTTTTTTTATTTTTCCACATCCAAATTTTGAGGTGTAATAATTATCTTTTTTTCAAAAGTGCCTCTATTGTAGTGACTTTATATTTATTATAGGGTGTTTAACAAGGATAAATAAGAAAAAATAGAGTTAATTTAAAAGTAGGTAATTACTTTATTAGGAGGTGAGATTCAGTTAAAAATATTTTATATTTTTAAACGAGGGGTATTTATGATTTAATTTACCGTTCATCATTTACAGTTGAATGACCAGTGGCATTTTTTTAAAATAAATGTTTGGTGTGTTGAAAAACCATGTGGGGGCTGCAATGAAAAAATAAATGTGGGATGATAAAAAA